ACACCTCTCAAATAATTAAAAACTTAACTAAACAAACTTAAGAAAATTGGAATAAACATTTGAATCAAACAAATAACAAAACATATAAAAATATATAAACACATAAGAGCACATAGAAGCACATAAGAGCATGTAATTGATATTTAAATGATAATAGGGGTACCTCTCTTTTGAAGTGGTGACTAAATGGAAGTTAAATTGCCCTATTTATACTCAAAATGAACAAAAGAATCGTGTCACCAATTTAATTGAAAATAATAATAATGATAAAAATACTAAATTCACATTAATATGTCAAATATAAAGAAACTTAAGAACATCTAAAAATTACAAGTTAAATATATTTAAAAGTAACACAATTAGCTATTAAAGAAAGCGGGGTTTTCTGAAGGGGGGGCAGGGTTTAGAACCTCCTCTCATCGGGGAGGGGGTCCTCTTTTGAGAGTTGGGATTTCGGGATCCACTGCTGATGAACTAATTGATCAGGGATGAGATGTGAGAGAGGAATCCATCTCCTTCTTTGGTAAAAAATTGACAGGGTGTCGAAACCTGCACAATAATAAAATTAAACCTAATTACCAGTTAAAATGACCAAAACCCAATTCCAAGTACTGGAGCAGGGACTCTAGGTGTGCAATGGGTTACTTGATTCACCCTGTTTCCGAAGAGTTTGCTTGATCCGATATACCCGAATGAAATGGTTATTTCTTTTCACAAATAATTATGAATTTGTAGACAGGGCAAGTAGGGTCGTATCCACAGAGACTGGGTATATTTGTTTATTAAGAAATCCAAAGTAACACAGGGGGGTGATTTTGTAGGAACGACGACAATCAAATAAATTCAAATAAGAAAATAAAAATAAATAACTAACTAGAAATTAAACCACAAGTCACTGAACTTAGAATAGCATTAATTAAAGGCCTAAATCAATTAAAACAAAGAAACAATTAAAAATAAAATAAAGTAGGCAACTAAAAGTCAAATGGCAATTCACCAAAATCAAGGTAATATTAATTAAAGGTCTAGCCAAGAAATAACTTCGGCAATGGTTCACCTAATTGATCATCGATGCAAGGGTAATTCCAATTATTCATCAATAAATAGGTTATAACTACCAAACAAGTGATGACAGTCAACTTCTCCTTACTGTGTCGGTGATTAAGGTACGCCCGTTAATCACTGCTCTAATTAGGAAATAATCCTAGGTACGCCCGTAAGATTTAAATCCCCAATTGCCTTACGTATTAGAGAAGCCCTATTCTAATCAAATAACGCACTACCAAGGTTATTTCAGATTAGCCCGCGTATCCCCCTGACACGAATCTAATCGTGCCAGTTGTCACTATTTCAGGACAATTAAACAATTACGGATTTAATGCCCTAATTGACAATAGATTACCAAATCAATTAATTATCCGGATCCAAGACAATCGATTAATTAAATAACTATAAGCTTAGCAATCAAGGAATACGCGAATACCAATAAATAAAAGAAAAAGATTAAATTAAATCGATCTCACAATTTTTAGGCGAACCAGAGCCTTCGTAGTTTCTTGACTAGAGTGAAAAGATTAGTTCATGTTTAATGCGAGGAACCCACGCAAAATTGAAGAGAGAGCTGCGGCCATCAATTGAGAAAATGCCCAAGTTCAATTCGGTCAAAGGAATAAAGTACACCTAAGTTGCAGAGGATGATTTAATGTCCTCGCTTGTCTGCTCATACGAAGGAAGAAGAAAAAGAACAACTAAAAGCTACAAAAGGGGAGGTCAAAGGTTGATGCCTCCTTTCTCCTCACATACGTGAGAATGACTACTCTAGGCTAAGAAAAGTCAAAAGTGAAGCTAGCTAAAGGACGAAAAGCTGAGGAAGCCGGATAGCTCCTTGGCCTCTGCAATCTTTTTGGTTTTTATCCCCTGCTTCCCTCAGATGTGCGGCGGCTCCAATCCCCCAAGGGAGACTTCAGCCCATTTACCCAAAAAGGGCTTGCATTTTGTTGTTCCAAAAATGTCCCTAGGACAAACTCTATCATCTGGACTTTTTTCCTGCCAAATTGGCACATGTTATTATATTTTGGTTCTACTCCCTGAAATAAATGCAAAATACTAAAAGTAAGTAGAATCCCGCAATTAATCCACATCAAGTCAAGTAATAGGAGAAATTAATAATAAAATAAATGATAAAATTGCAACCTATCAATTCCCCCCACACCTAAACCATGCTTGTCCTCAAGCATAAGAATAGCAAACGAATACCAAAATTTGATAATGGTCATTGCTCTATCTACTATATTGCCAAGATACCAAGGAATGCTATATATATCAAGCATTAGTGATCAAGATCCGATAGACTTCACCTCGGTTAGCTTCTAAATCACAAATTCCTTCAATTTCCAAATTAGCTAATCTAGGATAAAGGAATGGCACACAACATTTATCAGCTAATGGTCCAAATATTCACACAAGTCTCCATATTAAGTTCATAAACCGGCAAGGTTTTCTATTATTTATTCACTCCCTTTTTTTTTGTTGAGAAAATAATAATAACACAAAAGAAACTTAGTCTCTAGCCGTTGGAGCCTTTTGACGCAAACTCCAATATTTTTAGATGAAGGAGCCCGGTTACTCAGCTCCTACCGCTATACGACCACGTACTCATAGAAAGTATTACCTTTTGACGCGAGAATCGACACTTTTAAGTGCAGATCCCCGGTTACTCAATAATAACTAATAGCGGAGTATAGTCAAAATTATTCACAGCCAAACAACGCCAAAAACGCAAAATAACAACACTAAAAACCAAAAATAGGAGCAGCTCGCCTCATTATTACCAAACATAGAGAGCTAGAGTCAATATTGGATCAATTCACATTAAAACGCCAACAGTCATTCCCTATGTTTAGAAAAGTTAACAAAGAAATCAAAAGAGTCAAGCAGTCCGATATTCACCAAGAAAATGTCTTGGACTCAACCACATTAACTCGACACATTTTTTTATTAAAACTTGGCAAAAGTAAAAATAGGGATAATAATCCAACATCAAATTTTTGGCATTCACACGAGAGCTCATCACTAGAAAGAAAGAAAATGACTGAATGGAAATAAACCAAAAAAAAAACTAAAAAGAAAGAAAAAACACCTAAAAACTAGAAGCTACGAAAAACTAGAACCACAACTCACCCCCCCACACCTAAATGACACATTGCCCTCAATGGGACGAATAAACAGTAATAGCAAGAAGAATGGCAACGGTACTTCCCTGAGGTCGTCAAAACATCGGCGAGTGAGGCCCAAAAGGAGGAGGAAAGCTGACGTGCTGCATAAATGCCGCTAGTTTCTGGGCAATATTGGCCACATTGGTGTCAAGATTCTTCACTCCAGCATCCAAAGTGTCAACCTGCTAACATTAGCAATTGATCCAAGAAATGGCAACTCCAGCAACAGCAGTTCAGAAGTTGGACAGAAATAACTCAATCAACTCCAGCAACAGCAGTTCAGAAGTTGGACAGAAATAACTCAATCACAAATGCCCAGTGGTCACAACTCGATCAATTAGGCAACCAATAACACAAGATTAACAAATGTTAAACAACCACCATCGCCAGTACCACTGGTTAATGCACAGGGAAAAATTAAATCAAATGGCTAGCCCAAATCACTTGATAAATCCAAACACACCATTCAGTACCAAGGAATAGTAGAGATTAAAATGGGAATCAATTGACAAGTAACTCCCTAAATCGCCCCCAAATAATGCACCAATTTTACTCAACGGGACTAGAGATAGTGCTAGTGCTCGAATAAATCAACAAATGTCCCCAATTCAAGAAATCAACAACTCAACTTAACATCACTTAGGAAGCTCGCAACTGCTACTAGAATGTCTCATGGAGCAAATGAACCACAAAGCCTTCAATGGAGCCCAAAAAATTGACAACTAAGAATGCAAAAGACTAAAGGACAACTCGGAAACAGAGGGACTCAGAGATACCTGCCCACTGCCCAAGCAGTGGGTAGCAGAACCGGCAAGGGGCAGCGGCGGCGGTCCGTGGGTGTGCGCAGTCGTGACTAGGAGAGTAGGAGCTGTGATGAGCTGGTGGATGTGCACCAGTGAGGTCGAGAGGCACGCGAGGCTTGTTACTGCGACGAGCTGGGTTGCCACGGCTGGCGTGTGACGGCGGCGAACGAGGTGGATGAATCACGCGCGGTGAAGAGGAGGAGCGGCAGCCGTTGTCGAGGCCGAAAAAGAAAAGAAAATGGAAAGAGGATAGTGGAGGAGAAGAGGAAGAAAAGGGAAAGAAAGAAAGGAAAGAAAAGAAAGAAAGAAAGAAAGAAAAAGAAAGAAAAGAAAGAAGAGGGAAGAAAGAAAAAGAAAAAGAAAAAGGAAATAGTTTTTTTCTCATTTTATTTTTTTTGTTCTCTTTTTAGAAATTTTTTTTTACAGGAAGACTCTCCCCTTTTTTTTTAATTACTAAAAAAAAAAATTTTTGAAAATTTTTTTATATATAACTTTTTTTTATTATTGACAAAATTTATTTTTGAAATTCAAAAGTAGAGATTAACAGAAGATCAATAATCGTTCTTGATTTTTTTGAATACTTACCTTTCCCGCGAACATGACGCGGACATGTCATGAAGGCACGGAATCTGGAGCTCTTCAAGTTACTTGACGCGGGCACGTCATGAGGGTAAGAACCCCTTCTGACGATTCTGATCATGAGCTCTCCATACATCATGACGCGGGCGCGTCATGAGGGCAAGAGCCCCTTCTGACGATTCTGACGTGAGCTCTCCATATGTCATGACACGGGCGCGTCATGACAGAAGGACACCTACAAATCATCAAAAACGAAAATTGAAACCCGAAATCAGTTAAATTCAAGAAAAATATATTTAAACTATCACACGAAATCAAAACAAACAATTAAAAGAAACAATTGGGTTGCCTCCCAATGAGCGCCTTTTTTTAACGTCTTTGGCTAGATATTGAACACCACTCTTCAATCTGGGTGTAACTCAATTTTTCTGGAAATCGGTGGCCCTCCTCCAGGATCCAAATAGCCTTTGAGTGCAGCTCTCTTTCTAAATTTTCTACTCATTTTCACCTCATACAGTGCTTTCATCCCCTTATACTTGTTCTCAGTAAATTTGAATTTATCTCTACAAGCAAACTCAGAAAATTCTTGCACAGAGGGATTAATAGCATGAATAGCAAACACAGGGTGAGAGTTAAAAGGATGTTCCATTGTATCAAAAATATTAAAGTGGACTAGTTCTCCATCAAATTCCATGGACAATGTACCCTTATTAACGTCAATTTTTGTCTGTGCTGTGCTCAAAAAGGGCCTACCTAGTAGCAAAGGTGAGGGGTTAGGGGAATGATCATCATCCATATTAAGTACATAAAAGTCAGTCGGGAATATCAATTCATTAACTTTAACCAGCACATCCTCTATCAACCCATCAGGGTATGCATTTGTTCGGTCAGCTAATTGAATTATTATCTCGGTTTCTTTTAATGAACCGAGATTCAGATAAGCATACATAAATTTAGGCATTACGTTGATTGATGCTCCTAAGTCCAGTAGGGTATTCCTAATCAGAGTATTACCTATCTTACATTGGACAGTAAACCTACCTGGATCCCCGCACTTTGGTGGAAGCTTCCTTTGGAGAACTGCTGACACATTCTCCCCAACAATGATCCTTTCGTCTCCCCTCAACCGCTTTCGGTTGATACATAAGTCCCTCAAAAATTTTACATATTTCGACACTTGTTTGATGCATCTAATAAGGGGATATTGATCTCTACCTTGCGGAACACCTCTAGGATCTCTTTCTCTTTGTCCTGCTTTTTCGGTTTCTCCAACCTGCAAGGTAATGGAGGGGGATCAGTTTTAACGTCTATGATCGGGTCAGGGAGTACCACTGGATTTTTGGTGCTTGTATTCTCTGCCTGAAGTTCTTTCTCAATCTTCTCTTCACCCTTATCCTTTGGAGTCACGAGTTCGGGCCCTTGAATTTTCTTCCTGCTCCTTAAAGTCATTGCACTTACGTTCTTTAGGTTCAGTTCAGATTGGGATGGCAATCTTCCATTTACTTGGGACTCCAAATGGTTGATTTTTGTGGCCATTTGACTTATCTGATTTCTTATGTCCTGTATTTCGGATTCCGTCCTTTGCTGATTTTGCGTAATGGTTGCCACCAGTTGTTTCATCATCTCCTCCAAAGATGGACCAGAGCTTGAGGGCAGAGGTGGTCGGGGTTGGTACTGCTGCTGGTACCCCCTGGTTGTTTATTTGGTACGAAATTAGACTGTCTGTTTCCTCCATAGCTGAGGTTGGGGTGGTTCCTCCAACCAGGGTTGTAGGTACTTGAATAAGAGTCATAGGGCTTTCTTGATGCGGGCGCGTGATCAGCCATATTCACTTGTTCTGCACTTCCTTCTTGAATCATTGGGCACATCTCCGTGGAGTGACCCATACCAGTGCAAATCCCGCACACCTTAGCCCGAGATGCATTTCCTACAGCTAGTTGTCTAACAAAAGAAGTCAACTCAGTCAACTGCTGCTGGATAGAAGATGTCTCTACCTCATTTACCTTGCGTATTGGGACATCCTCTCTTGTACCGAATTATTGTGAATTCTTTGCCATCCCCTCTATTAACTCCCGTGCTTCCCGAGGAGTTTTGTTCACCAGTGCCCCTCCGCTTACAGCATCAATTATACTCCTATCTCTGAAAAGGAGCCCCTCATAAAAATACTGTATGAGCAACTGCTCACTTATCTGGTGCTGGAGGCACTTGTTGCACAACTTCTTGAACCGCTCCCAATACTCATAGAGTGACTCCCTTGGATGCTGCTTGATCCCGCAAATTTCTTTCCTTAGACTTGCAGCCCTAAACACAGGAAAATATTTATCCAAAATTTTTTTCTTTAATTGGTCTCACGTGGTGATGCTACCTGGTGGCAGGTAGTACAGCCAATCCTTTGCAGAATCCTTCAAGAAAAAGGGGAATGCCCTCATTTTTATTTGCTCTTCTGTAATGTCTGGAAGCTTCATACTATTGCACACGACATCAAACTCTTGCAGATGCTTATACGGCTCTTCACCTGATAAACCATGAAAAGAGGGTAAAAGATGAATCAGACCAGATTTTAGTTCAAATGAAGTGTTATCATTTAAGGTGGGGAAGGTAATGCATAAAGGTTGCTGATTTAAATCAGGAGCAGTCAACTCCCTTAATGTCCGTACATTAGCCATGGTGCCTTCCTCCTGATCAGAGTCACTCGAAGTGTCACCAAACGAATCTGTCGGTTCAACTTCTGACTCAGGTCTCTGAGATGCAGCACTGGACTGGTCCTCTCTGAGCTATCTGGTTTCCTTTCTCGTTCTATGCGCAGTCTTCTCTATTTCAGGGTCAAAAAATCAAATCACCTGTACAAGAAGACCGAGGCATACACTAAAAAAATACCAGAAAATTAGCACAAAAATAAATTTAAAAAGAAACAAATAATAACGCCAGTCCCCGGCAACGGCGCCAAAAATTGACAGGGTGTCGAACCCTGCACAATAATAAAATTAAACCTAATTGCCAGTTAAAATGACCAAAATCCAATTCCAAATACTGGAGTAGGGACTCTAGGTGTGCAATGGGTTACTTGATTCACCCTATTCCCGAAGAGTTTGTTTGATCCAATATACCCGAATGAAATGGTTATTTCTTTTCACAAATAATTATGAATTTATAAACAGGGCAAGTAGGGTCGTATCCACAGAGACGGGGTATATTTGTTTCTTAAGAAATCCAAAGTAACACAGGGGAGTGATTTTGTAGGAACGACGACAATCAAATAAATTCAAATAAGAAAATAAAAATAAATAACTAATTAGAAATTAAACCACAATTCACTGAACTTAGAATAACATTAATTAAAGGCTTAAATCAATTAAAATAAGGAAACAATTAAAAATAAAATAAAGTAGGCAACTAAAAGTTAAATGGCAATTCATCAAAATCAAGGTAATATTAATTAAAGGTCTAGCCAAGAAATAACTTCGACAATGGTTCACCTAATTGATCATCGATGCAAGGGCAATTCTAATTATTCATCAATAAATAGGTTATAACTACCAAACAAGCGATGGCAGTCAACCCCTCCTTACTGTGTCGGTGATTAAGGTACGCCCGTTAATCACTGCTCTAATTAGGAAATAATCATAAGTACGCCCGTAAGATTTAATTCCCCAATTGCCTTACGTATTAGATGAGCCCTATTCTAATCAAATAATGCACTACCAGGATTATTTCAGATTAGCTCGCGTATCCCCTTGACACGAATCTAATCGTGCCAGTTGGCACTATTTCAGGACAATTAAACAATTACAGATTTAATGCCCTAATTGACAATAGATTACCAAATCAATTAATTATCCGAATCCAAGACAATCGATTAATTAAATAACCATAAGTTTAGTAATCAAGGAATACGCGAATACCAATAAATAAAAGGAAAATATTAAATTAAATCGATCTCACAATTTTTAGGCGAACCAGAGCCTTCGTAGTTTCTTGACTAGAGTGACAAGATTATTTCATGTTTAATGCGAGGAACCCACGCAAAATTGAAGAGAGAGCCGCGACCATCAATTGAGAAAATGCCCAAGTTCAATTCGGTCAAAGGAATGAAGTACAACTAAGTTGCAGAGGATGATTTAATGTCCTCGCTTGTCTGCTCATACGAAGGAAGAAGAAAAAGAACAACTAAAAGCTACAAAAGGGGAGGTCAAAGGCTGATGCCTCCTTTCTCCTCACATACGTGAGAATGACTACTCTAGGCAAAGAAAAGTCAAAAGTGAAGCTAGCTAAAGGACGAAAAGCTGAGGAAGCCGGATAGCTCCTTGGCCTCTGCAATCTTTTTGGTTTTTATCCCCTGCTTCCCTCAAATGTGCGGCGGCTCCAATCCCCCAAGGGAGACTTCGGCCCATTTACCCAAAAAGGGCTCGCATTTTGTTGTTCCAAAAATGTCCCTAGGACAAACTCTATCATCTGGACTCTTTTCCTGTCAAATTGGCACCTGTTATTATATTTTCGTTCTACTTCTTGAAATAAATGCAAAATACTAAAAGTGAGTAGAATCCCGCAATTAATTCACATCAAGTCAGGTAATAGGAGAAATTAATAATAAAATAAATGATAAAATTGCAACCTATCAAAAATAGGTGAGTTTGGGGTTCCCATCTAGCCTTTGGAGCTTCTTCTTTGGGGGCGAGATGTTGGGTATCGATCTGGCAGCGGGCTCCAACAAATATTTGTTGTCCAATTTCTATGGCCAAGGCAATGATAAGCATGCAAGAAGGTCAGTTTTTGGGTGGGGATGGTTTTCTCTTGGTTAGAAATTTTTTGGTAATTTGGCTTGTGAGTAGGGGTTGGTGTGGGACATTTAGGCCTATCAACGGTCCGGTCCCCAGACCGGATCCATGAAATTATTACGGGTACGGGTAGGGATTTAATTCTGTTACCCGGATCCGGATCCGGATCCATTTTGTCAAACGAAAAAACGGGTTGGATACGGAATATAGTATTCCGACCTGTATTATACCCGGATCCGGATATAAATGGATTAATAATTTAAAATATATTTATTTATTAATATAATTTGATTAGGGTGATGTATTTGAATAAACTTAATTTGATTTCTTTTCTTATTTGGTTTTTTTGTATCAGTTAAAAATTAGTTTACAAATATATTTTTTTCTCATTTTTATTAGAAATTGTAAATTTTGATAAATTTTTTCAGGTAGATCCGACTCAGATCCGAGGCCCGTCGGTTCCGGATCCGGAACATAAAGTAAAAGATCCGTCGGGTAAACGGGCCGGACCCGGGTCCGGTATGGTATGTCAGGCCCGAATTCGGAATAATGAATTCCAACCGGGATCCGACCAGTTGACAAGCCTAGATACATTGCGTGAAGAAAGAGGCGTCATATTATTAGGGGTTAAAAACAAAAAAGTCTCATGTGGTGTACCTAATGTACAGAAAAGCTCCTTGTGGTTTCAAAACATACAAAACGACAGTTCATGCTTTGAACTAAATTGTAAATTAACAGAATTCGTTAAACTTAACGAAAATGACGGTCACAGCCGTTAAACTTACCGGATTCCGTTAAGTTTACCGTTAAATTTACCGAATTCTTTTAAGTTTTTCGTTAAATTTACCGGATTCCGTTAAATTTAACGAATTCCGTTAGTTTACAATTTAGTTCAAAATATGAGATATCGTTTTGTATAATTTGAAATCACGGAGGATTTTTCTATGTATTAGGTATATCACAGAAGGTTTTTTTGTTTTTAACCCTATTATTAGAATCTTGGGTTGCTCTCGAGGATGAGGAGACTTTACTTTAGGAATTGTAGGAAGGATTTTTTCCACTTGGATGCAAGCTAGTTCCTATCTGTGGCAAGGTTGAGAAGGGAGCCGCATTGAAAGCAATAATTTTTTTTTTTTGCATGGTATTTTTCCTAGGATGGTTGAAAGGTTAGAGATCGGAAATAATGAGGTTTGACAAGTATGAGACGTTGTCCCGGCATTAGGTTGACTAAGAGCAAGTTTGGAAGGATGGGCAGGGGATTTGAAATTTGAATTTGGGGGTATTGAAACGTTGTTTGAGATTGAGGCCCAAGTTTGGCCTGCCTAGACAGAAATCTTTTTACTGGACTTTAGAGGAAATTTGGGGGCCAGCATCTAGGATCCACATTTGGGTTTTTGATCATAGAAGTTGGACTGATCAAAGGTTGGGTTCCTATATTTGCCTTCATCGGACACACCAAGCCACAATAGAAACAGAAATTAAGTCCTTCATATTGAAGAGATTGGGTAATATGATCGATCTTGATTGAATGCTTCAAAGGTTTGCTAAGATCAATTTGGATGCATAGCCTGACATATCTTTCATCTTCTGAGTTTGCTATTTTTGCATCAATTTTGATCAGCGTACCTAATGAAATCTTTACTAGTGCTAGGACTTCGAAGTCATAGTATTCCA